ACACACACACACACACACACACACACACACACACACACACTTAAAATCTACAAGAAAGTCTCGCAGCTTTGTTATTAAGTGATGTTAAAATGGACAGTCAGGAGTTAAAGATTAGGAATGTTAAGCCTGCCAACACAGTTTTTGCAAGCTGATACAAAAAGAAACTGAAAGGGACATGCCTGATAATTATCAGCAGCTTCAATTGCTGCAAGAAAATGTGCGTAACGTTAAAACACTTCACAAAAGTCAAAATATATTCATATTGCATGAGGGCTAATCTATGCAAACAAATGCACTTACGTCACATAAAGAGCTTCAGCTGCAGAGTTTGGGAAGCTTTTTCAGGTGAAGAGATACATTATTTCTCTGAAATCTCTTAAGAAGCTGCGTTTGCGTTCAAAATTTAGGAATCATAAAACTGTAATACAGAAAACTCGCACGTGCTGAGTACTCAATCTATAAAAAACAAGGGTCATGGTAAACGAGACGATAAGAAAAGCTGAGCTCAGCAAAGAATCTTCACTCACAATCATGCAGACGATGCGGACTCGTACCTTAAAGCCTCTCATGCACAGAAAGGACTTATAAACACCTTAACTTCTATTCCACTGGGATATTGTGGTTCATCACGCCTCACCTCGTTGTTTTTCCACAATAAAATATTGCATTATAACAATTTAACTACAACAGATAGGCCTACGACTAAAAATCTCAAAGAAAGATGCGTTTTCAAAAAGACGAGGCTCTGCGGTTTAGTAGCGCTCATACAGACGCGTTACACTGGCTCAGCCTCTGTGACATCCGGCTTTAATAAGAAAAAACAGGTGGTTTGTTTCGAAAAACCACGTAACGTCACTTCCGTGTTACTAGTTTATATGCCTGGCTTGATCCACTAGATTTCAGCAAACAAAGATAATCGAATAAAGAGCTACTAAACTAGAGGGAGCTGTTGATATTGTGATATTGTGAGATGGGGTGGGCAGTTGGGAGATCTAACTAGACACAAGAAATCATAAATAAGAAAAGTCCTAAGGAAACACTGGCTCAAAGACATCTGTTAATAAAGTAATTATCATAAATCAGTTATCATTTGATTTATTTGGGCACTTATCTTGAAGTATTATTTAAATTCAACCTTAAATAATGGCCATCGACAAAAAAAAAGCATGTTAGGGACCCCTTAAAAAGTCTGCAGACTTTGTCCTTTGAACTTCTCTTATAGATTTCATTTCAGGAATTATTAGGTAGTCATCATAATGTCTCTGGAACTTTTTGATGTGCTTCAAAGTATTTTTATTTAGTTTAAAACACTTTTAAGTCAGATATTTTAGACCTGACAACTGTCATGATATGCGTGAAGTTGTTGTTTAAGGTGCAGTTCATGTGGAAGCCACAGGAGGGTGGTGTTGAGCGCAAAATAAAAAGTGATAGCAAAACCTAAAAGACTGTCATGTCTGCTCCCTGAAGCAATATCGTAACAGCAACTACATGCAGATTTTTTTTAAATAAATATTTTCCATACAAATTACGATGTTATTAAACGGAATAAACCAGGTCTTTTTAAACCTTTCTGGATTGTTACTTCTTCTATCAACTGCTCTTTGGAGTTTGAATCATTTCTTTCATGAACTATGTGAGGCAGAAAGACGTTACAGATTCCCCTATTTGCTGATTCATGCATGGTTACCTCCAAGTCTGTGTTTTCACATTTAGCAATCATTGTATTGTTTTTGACAGTTACGATTTTTAAAAAAAAATCTTGACAGTTAATCCTTTGTTTCACTTGACAGGATGCTTCAAGTAAGCGTGCAGCTGTGTTGCAGTGGCTTAGTCATGAGTCACTCTTGACTAAAAGGTTTCTCTTTCCATCATTATACCCACACCGTCTCAGCGCCAAACTGCTCAAAACCAATTAGTTGCCCTAACTTAGTCATCTTAAGTAAGTTTTACTCAAATTTTTTGAGGCAACGAGTTTGCATAGTTTTTTAAGTTCTGGGAACTAATGAAATTTTACAGTGTATGTGTCAGTGAAATTTTCTATAATATAGACGGTACTTTCACACACTGTCTTATTTCCTTAAGGGTCATCACGACAAGTGCATCTGCATATTTGATATGGCAGTTTTGTTTGGTTTATTTATTTTATTAAAATTCTAAATGCACTTCCTGATGCTCCTGTCCCATACAGGCTGGGAACAGACAAAAAACTGGAAATCTTTTGTAAATTGGTAACCACTACAGTATGGCGACACATGCAGTTATCTATAATAAAGAATCCAACAACACCTGGGATTTATTGTCACACCTGCAAGTGAGCTCAGTTTTCAGCTTAAACAATGTTTTTTTATTTGCACAGACAGACAGATGTTTTTTTGACCCCACACGGGAATTTGCTGTGTTACAGCAACATGATAAAAAGTAAAAAAATAGTACAGTCTACAATTCACAAGAAATAAACAACACAGTTATAGAAAAGTGCCTCTTGGTAACAGGCTTATACTGTGAGATAGAGTAGGAATTAATACATTTACAACAGAGATAAAAACCAAAGAACAGTAAAAATTAAGTTAGTAAAAAACAGTGAAGGTAAGACTGACAGAGTGTAAGAGAGAAGTGCAAATTTCATTAATAAAAAATATTTACACAGTAAATATAAGAAGAACAGCTGAATGAAAATAAAATATAAAATATGTTTGGGCTTTTGTGCCTGGCAGGTGTGATCACGTGTTACAGAACGAAGAGTTATTAACAGCTTCATAGAGAACGGTAGGAGTGATTTCCTGTAGAGTTCTTTATGGCAGCGAGGTTGAATCAGTCTGAGGGGAAAGGAGCTCTGCTGCCCCAGAAGTGAGGAGTGGAGCTGTTGTGATGGGCTGTCCATGATGGAGGGCAGTTTGTTCAGTGACCTCGTGTCCCTCACTCCAAACACCTCCAATTTCAGACCAATGATGACTGCGGCCTTGCAGATTAGTTTCTTGATCCTGATGGCATCTCTGTCACCGATGCTGCCCCTCCCCCCAAGTAGACAACAGCAAAATAGATGCCATTCACTAACAACACCTTACTGCTTCTTCCTACATTTTATTAGTGAAATGAATAATTGTGTTTTTCTGTCAATGACATTTTATGGTAAATGACCTTGTCATCTGCATACTGTACTGTGTGAGGGTTTCCTGGAGTAAACTTGTAGGGTAGCAATAGGAAACATGTCATTGGAACAATTTTTACAGTAAGTATTGTGCTGGAGTGAAGATGCTTTGAAAGTGCCTGGATCTGTACCTGTATCATTTAGCAGAGGTCGCGTTTATTTCTTGGTACATTTAGATCAGCTTCTATTATGAGTTTCCTGGTTTGAAACAGTCCTGACTGCTACCTGTCGATCATCCACACTAGATGTATTTCCAAAGAAGCCTTGGGTCATTCAGGCCAGTCGATGCTTCTTCCTTTCTCTGACTGGATTTTTTAGAAGATGTGTTGGATGAAAGACGAGGTAGAGAAGAGTGTGTTCACAGCTATCCCAAGTTTGGCCAACAGGCAGTAGATTCTTGGAAGCTTGAATCACATTGATTTATGAAATAGTGGTCTAAATGCTTTCTTCGGCCATCATGATCTTCTGTTACTCCTGCAGCATGGATCAGCTGTGGCGTGGTGCCCAGGGATTTAAAAAGCAGAAAGCTTTTAAGATTATTATGGCAGCCGTTGTGGTTTTCTTCCTCTGTTGGACGCTGTACAATATCACACGCTGAAAACGTTTCATTTTGACACAAGCAACAAAGCTTGTTCAGTCACAGCATCTGATTCTGTATGCCTTCGTGGGTGTGGAATTCCGGTATCGGCTCCTGAGCATTCCCAGGTCTCTGTGTTCTGGTCAATCTGACCCCCCATCCCCTTCCTTGATGTCAAACAAATCTTATCAAGTCTACAAAACGGACATGAATGGACACGAAGCCAAAAACATCAGCACATCCATTGTATGTTTGTATATTTTTTGTGTTATATAACCTGAAAGAAGAAGTGGCTACTTTGTTTTCTGTATGTTACACTGCATTTATTAGCAGTGTAACATAAACCTAGCACAATCAAGTCTGTTTGCAGCATTAAAGTACACCCACACAGCCAACAGACTAATTAAAGGAATCTTTGGTGATCATTCTATGAAATTGGACTCACTTGCTGATAAAACCATTGCGTTGGAAACAGCTATCAAAACAGTGCACAACAGTTGAAAAAACACAGAACAGTTGGTAAATTCCTCTGTGTACTCCATGATTCAGGTCCCGTTTGAAGCCTCTAGTTTGTTTGATTTACTTTATTTGGAGGAATGACGGCAGATGAATTAGCTTTCATTCACCTTTTTGTTGAAAACAACCTAAAACTTACAAAAAATAACTTGATAATACACATATATGTAAGACATCGAACCTAAA